AACCTACCTGGAGTTCTACGACATGGTGAACAGCAGTAAGACAAGAGAGAGAGAGGGGGGGTGGATTGGGGGCTTTTTCCTTGGACTGCAAGAAGGCGTTTGACACAGTTCCACACAAGAGATTAGTGCAAAAACTGGAGGACCAAGCAGGGATAACAGGGAAGGCACTACAATGGATCAGGGAATACTTGTCAGGAAGACAGCAGCGAGTCATGGTACGTGGCGGGGTGTCAGAGTGGGCACCTGTGACCAGCGGGGGTCCCCACAGGGGTCAGTCCTAGGACCAGTGCTGTTTCTGGATTTGTGAACGACATGACGGAAGGAATAGACTCTGAAGTGTCCCTGTTTGCAGATGATGTGAAGTTGATGGGAAGAATTCATTCGATTGAAGACCGGGCAGAACTAAAAAGGGATCTGGACAGGCTTGCAGACCGGGTTTCCAGCAGTTGGTTTCCTGGAGTTCAACACCACCAAGTGCGAAATCATGAAGATTGGGGAAGGGCAAAGAAGACTGCAGACGGAATACAGTCTAAGGGGCCAGAGACTACAAACCTCACTCAAGGAAAAAGACTTGGGGTGAGTATACCCCAAGGCACATCTCCTGAAGCGCACATCAACCAAATAACTGCTGCAGCATAGTGGCGCCTAGCAAACCTCAGAACAGCATTCCGACATCTTTTAAAAAGGAATCATTCAGGGCCCTGTACACCGTGTACGTTAGCCCATATTGGAGTATGCGGCACCAGTTTGGAACCCACACCTAGCCAAGCACGTGAAAGAAACTAGAGAAAGTGCAAAAGGGTTTTCAAACAAGACTAGTCTCAGAGCTAAGAGGTATGTCCTACGAGGAGAGGTTTTGGAGAAATCACCCCGACGACACTGGAGGACAGGAGAGATAGGGGGGAAATGATAAAAGACATACAAAATACTGAGAGGAATTGACAAGGTGGACAAAGACAGGATGTTCCAGAGATGACACAGCAACACGGGACACAGTTGGAAGTTTGAAAGACACAGATGATCACAGGGAAAGTTAGGGAAATATTTCTTCAGCCACAGAGTTATCAGGGAAATGGAATAGTTTGGGGAAGCGATGTAGTGGAGGCTTTATCATACCTCTGCTTTAAGCAGAGGTATGATAAAGCCTCCGGGTTTAGGAAGTGACCTAAGTACGACCAGTGAAGAGCCAGGGCCAGGACTCGGGACTCGACCCTTGCAACCTCAACAAGGTGAGTACAACTAGGTGAGTACAACACAACACAACACACACACACACACACACACACACACACACACACCACACAACACCATATACACACACCCCACACAC